ACTTTTAACCTGTGTCAATTCTTTATTGAAGAATTTGAAGCAGGATGTAGTCTGTGGAAGAGTGATTCATTTTGGGTAGATGAAATCATTGATTACAATTCCAATGTGGTTGGAACCATGTTGTTGGCTGAAGTAGGTCTCAATAAAAATATCGATACAGTTTAGGAAGCATTAAACATGGATACTTAACTTACCCAGGGTATGGATATTATAGTTATAACTCTTTGATTACACAAATTATAATTGTTTGTATGAAAAAAATAAATTGTCCAAAAGAAACTAAAAGCCATGACAAAATTATTAATATCCATTAACAAATTCTCATCGGTATTGTTATTAAATCCACAGTTTTGAGTATGTTCAATAACGATAAAGAATTTAAAGCTGCATAAAAAAAAAGCACTTATGTTTAATGCAGGTAAACTCGTAACATAATATTTTATACCTGTTATTATTACCGTTTAAAGTTTACCTGTAGGTAGAATTCAATATACATTTGGACATAACCAGTATGTGTTAATATAAAAATATAATAATCATGCTTATGTCTTCAAGATAAGTATATGGTTGTAATTTAAAAATAATAAGGCACTCATGTTTTGAGCTTCCCTTTTTATACTTTGAATCAAAAAAATCGAAATTAAATAGTTTTTATAGCTAAATTATTATCACCGTATAGACAATAAAGTAAGTTTATTAACATTCAAACTGGTTTGAACACAAAGGGAAATTGTCTTAGTCAATGAATATTCGTAACAATTTGACTGAAGCAAAATCAACACGGTCACCAATGATACATTATGTAATGACTTATATCTTGGAGAATAAGCACGGTCTCGAAGATTCTATTATCGGCAAAAGTTTGATAGATGATTTGTGTTTTAGTATAAATGAGAGCTATGGAAGTAGAAAATGAAATGGATCCAGCTGATTATGATATTTTTAATGATTTTTTTTTTTTTACTCTGAAATGTTTTTTAAATTAAATGAATTCTTTTAAATGCATATATATATTTTTAACTATGTACATAAGAATTCTTATTTTTGTCAAAGATAATGGTAGTTCAATACAAATTAAGTTATTATTATATTATAAACATAATGTTGGATTATTTACTAGTCTATTATTAAGAAATTAATGGTTGAAATATGTTTATTTTATTAATAATTAAATAATAAAACTATATTTACATTTTTGCGATAAATGTTTTTTTTTTAATATTAATTTAAATTTAAAAAAGCAATTATATATTGTTGCAATAAGTTAACTATTTAATATTAAAAATTAAACTAATATTTGCTTAAAAATAATTTAAAAATAGAAAATACAATACGTATAATTATGAAAACAATTTTCGAAAAATAATTCTGTATTTTTAATTTGTTTGCAATACACGAAAATACCATTAATATAACATCAAAACAAAATTTGAATTACAATTCATTAGAAATCCATATTTAATGCTAATCCATATCCTAAACCAAAATGATTGATTATTAATAATAATCAATTATTTTAGTAATACAAAATTCCAAATGGAATTCTTTACATTTTTAATCCATTTTTGTTGGTTTAACTTTAAAGGATATTTCGATAAATTTTTATCCAATCCTTTGAGTTTCATAGAACATCAGTTACCTTTTCTTCTCTGTTATTTGAGTATGTATGTACTTTGAGTGCATGTACTTTCAGTTCTAAGTTAAATTTAATTAAAATAGATATTATAACAATTAGTTGATTAATAATATATTTAATTTCATAGTACATTTTAAAGTGGTAAAAGTGCTTAGCATTATCTGATGTGAATTATTTATCTTTGTAAATGTACATCATGATTTATCAAACACATGTTTCATCCATTGAACTAAATTGTAGAACTAATTATAAATTTTATAAATATATAGGCATTATTTTAATTTAATTTCAAAATATACTAATATAATTAATAAATATATAAATTACATGTTATTAGCAAAGTATAATATAATTAAAAACTTACCTACCTTCTGCAAATAAAGGAAGCGAAATGAGAATATTTTTGTACCTAACTTCTAGTATGTACTGACCAAATTTTATACCTCTGTCATAAATCAAATTGAACTCAACAACTGCCATTTTTTCCTATATATATATATTCATTAGAAACTAATTAATGATGCGAAACACTTACCAGTTCACATTGAGCCACTATCAATGGAACACAATAGACGACGCTACTAGTTACTTATTTGCTAGTGATAATTTCCAAGTGATTGATTATATTATCGACGAGTCACCTTTGAATTGTGTCTCATCAAAGTTTTGCTGCCCAACGAATCTTTTTTGTTTAATGCAAAAATTTGTAAGAATAAATGAACTAATAATGAATTTAAAGTTGATGGAAGAAGTGGAAAACGTCCTGTCTTATAAAATTTCACGCTTTCGAGATATTGAAGTTAAGAATTTTAGTTCCAGTTAGTTTAATATTTCTGTTAGGTTAGGGGAAATCAGTTTCACCAAATATAAATAACTTTCTTTCGACATGCGATAAAAACATAAAAAATTAGTATCTGAAAGAGATTTTTCCTCAGTGAGGTGGCCGGTCACGGTTGAGTGGTGGTGTATCGTGTGTAGGAAAAAAAAATAAACCACGAAACCAAAACAAAAATACGATGGTCAGAATTATATTGCCAACAAAATAAGAATTTTATAAACAAATGTGGTCTGATGACGGTGGTGAAAAGACAAAGAAAAACCGTACTAGGACGATGTTCGTTCACCGACGGTCACAAGCAGAATGTTGGTGACTTGAAGCGACCGGTCAGTACGTTGCCACCGGTTCCGATAACATTTCCCACCTCTGCCCAGTTTTCCGAGGTAGGTGGGTAGTATCGGAAACGGTGTTGTTGTTGCCCGGGTTGTGGCTGGGTAGAGAGCGGGCGCGGCTCCGCAACAGTGATGTACTCAATGTACCTGCACCACAGCGGGATCGCGTCAAGATTAGTTGCCATATAAAATTATTATTTTTAAATATTTCTCAATTGCGATTGAAGTATGCTAAAAAAAACTGAGTTTCCTGGTGCGTGGAGGCCGGGTAAAATATAATTTACGTATGTTGTAATTTTAAACATTATTTAGGTAGGTAGGTACTAAAAAAAAAAAATAACCATAAGTAATTATTATTAAAAACATTAAACATTAAATTTTTAATAAATTAATGCTTTAATAACTAAAGAAAAAATGAAAAAGAGATCTAGGGGTCTAGAGACCACTTATGCAGGTAAAACAAAAAAATATATTTAATGATAAAAAACATCAAATACTAATGCAATTAAAATTGAAACTTAATTTATAAGTTAAGATTATTAATAATTGAAATTAATATTAAACGAAAAAAAATTGATTTAAGTAATGGAAAAATATTATTTATATAACCAAGAATACTTAATTAAACATTAATTATTGTAAGTTTTAAAAATATAATGTATTAAATATCAAAAAATATACTAGAAGCTAAACACATAAATTTAATTGAAATTATTATAATTACAGTTGTTATTATAAGCATTTACACAAAAACGGCAGTTACTTACAAACAAAAAACTAAATATAAATATGAGGAAAAACTTTGTCAAATGTTATGTGTGGAGTGTACTATTGTACGGTTGTGAAACATGGACTATTAATGGACAAGACAAAAAGAAGTTAGAAGCCATAGAAATGTGGATATGGAGAAGACTGTTAAAAATCAGCTGGACAGAAAGGAAAAGTAACGTAGATGTATTAGACCAAGTAGGAGAAAAAAGAATCTTATTAAACACCATAAAAGAAAGAAGTGGAAAAATGTTCGGTCATCTACTTAGGCATAATTTGTTTATGACAAACATATTTGAGGGACGAATAGACAGTTATAAAGGAAGAGGCAGACCGAGGAAAGCATACATAGAAGAAATGATAAAACAAGCGGGTTGTAGTCGATATACAGAAATGAAAAGATTAGCTTCTAATAGAGAAGAATGGAAAGCCAGATTTGCAACGACAAGGCAAGGCCTTTAGTAAAGACGAGAAGAAGAAGAAGAGTTGTTATTAAGAAAAATGATGCACCTATTAACATTTCAAATACGTTTATTTAGAACCCATTAAAAAAAAATGTAACTTAAAAGCAAAAAAAGTACCCAAAATACCCAAAAAAGCATTAATATACAAAAAACCCAAAAAGAGCAACAAAAAAAATGTTGTGCATTTTATTCTAAGTAGTATAAATCAAATTTGTAGCTGATAGAGTTTCATTTTTGAGCAATAGAAAAAAAAATAAATGCTTTCAAAATCCGTACTCCAATTATAATAAAGTCATGGGTAAATATTTTTCTACCACTTGATAATATTGGCTGAAAATTAATAAATTATATTTACGTAATATATTGTATAATATTACCATATTAAATAAATGTTTTGCCGTACGGTGGTAGGGATAATATTTTAACAGGCGGATGGTTTTTTTTATATGTGCTTCAGTATTCTTATGTTTCTTGATTAGATCTTATACTATATAATTATATTATATATACCAGGGATCGCCAACCTTTTCAAACAAGTGAGCTACAATTAACATTTAAGTTCCTGGTGATCGACAACTACTAGAATTATAATTTAGGTCTTTAGGAAAGAAATCTCTTTTATCTGATGAGCAAAAAAAAAAAAAGTCTAAGTACCAAGGAATATTTAACATTATTTAATTGAATTAATTTATTTAATATTTATTATTTTTTCATAATAATAATAATCAAATGTTTACATTATCAGATTGTTTTACGCGATCGACCCCATATTTCTAGAAAAATTAACCAATCGATAGCGATTAACTAGTTGGTGACCCCTAATATATACAGTATATAATCTAAGTATCTTACAAACGCTTTATCACTAATTTTGTGTTATCTTTATTATTATCATTTTTGTTTATTGAAGAATATTAGATAAATAATCTATATATCTGTATATAACAAGTTTAAAAATCTTATTTTAATAATATTACTTCATTACGTATTATTAATGTACCAAGCATAATGAAATACATTGATTTTATATTATAAGCTACTAATGGAATCTTGTCGTAGCAAACAAACACAATGATCGAGTTTAACACTTTGTTTATTTGTATATTTTTCATTTTGCTGTATTCTTTAAAATGGTAAGTAAATTCACTGTTAATTTTTAATTTTTTCTTTCACCTATTAAAAATGTTTAATTCAGGTTGTTACCAAAAGCCATCAGTTTATACCTCAAATACAAATACCACATTAATGTAAAAATTGGTACAGCTGGTATATTCTCATTACAGGATATAGTTTTCTTAAAAAACGGCTATTCAGTGGTATGGTAAAGATAAATTATTGTATAGTTTCATATAATTTTAATAAATATTTTTTAATAGCATATTGACAACATTGGTTTCCGTAGTAGCTTCATTAGCAGTGAAGTTAATAAATTAGTATGTCTTGTAGCTCGTGATGTACGAATTGAGAAAAACATAGATTGGAATGATTCTACTACAGTGAAACAAAACAAGAGCAATAATAAAATTGAAAATATTCTCCCAATTATCATAAAGTTTGCACAGGTATATGAAACAATTATTTTTATTAAAACACATATTTAACTTTTGTTTTTAGTTTCTAGCTGTTCGTATAAGCTGTATATCCATAATGATATTACAACCAAATACTCCTGAATGGCTCTTTATTGTATCAGTAATGGATCTCCATTTAGATGCATCCGTCATTGGTTCATCCAGACAATTATTAGCCAATGTTAATGCTCCTCATGCAGAAGCAAAATTACTTCGTCATCCTATGAATCCAAATTCATGTTGTTTAGCAAAAATTACTGTAAATGTATGTGCTGAAAGCATATTAAATACACATGAACCGTTGTCAATTCAGTCTTTGATGTTAAAACTTGATAAGTCTAAAATTGTACTAAATAAAGGTTTATATAGTTTCATAAAAAACAATAGTACTAATTCTAAATTTTCTAAGAATTACAAAACACAAGATTGTTTGCAGAAAACTACAGTAGACATTCCACTTATTATTCCTCCATTAATACCCAAGGTCAGTTTTATTCTTCATATTATTTTTATGTAATTATTAAAACACATACAAATATTAATATGTTAATAATTTTATTTTTAGAAAATAAAAATTAATTTAGAAGAGTTAACGATTGTGGATGTAAAAGACAATTTAGTAACTGAGATGAAAGGAGAGTTGAAATCGTTGACTATAGACAATTTAATCATTCCTGATGACAACAATAATTTATTAATACAAAGTAGAATAATACTAATCTGTTATAATATAGTAGAAACTGCTTATAAAAATATGAAAGTTTTAATTGTATTTTGTACTATGTCTAACTGTAATTTTTTTTATATTTGTTTAAGTCATATTATTTTAATATTTCTTAAAACTATAATATTTCAGTCATGCTTTATTATTAATTAATATTTTTGTAAACAGTATATTTACAATTACCTTTACATATTGTTTTAAAAAATTGCTGTTAATTATAATTTCAGGTAATCTTTCACTTAAAGTAAGTTTTGAAAATTTATCTTTGATTGGTCAAGAAGAAACATATGTTTCATTAGAAAAGTTTTCATTTGAAGCAAAGGTATTGAAAAATAATGATATGTTAATCATATTATATATTTCAATAAATTATTAAGAAGTATGCTTTTATTATTTTAGTACTTGCAAAAATCATTGAAATTAGATTTAAAGATAAATAATGTTTATACTTTATACTCACATGATGATATTTTTCAATGGTATACCTCTTATACTGATCAAATGTTGAAACCACATCAGGTATAAATATTTTTTTTACTAGTAACTTAATTGTAAATGTTTATATATACTTCATATTTGAGACATTTTTTTATTGTTTTCCTTTTTAATACATTTAATTTTCATTATGATTTACTATTCATAAATATATATTTGAATTAATTAAAAACATTTTATCCAGTTAAAATCAACGTCGATATTAGTAACAAAACAACCATTGATATCACTAAATGGTTCATTGGATGATATCAGTATAGATTCAGTGATTCAGTTTTTAAATGTTACTACTACATATAGACTTAGTTCAGAATGTGCATCTGTTAGTTTCAACAAATTCAAACTGATGTTGTCTTGTCATCCAGTTATAAGTTTGTATATTCTGTTATAATCATTATGTTTACAATTATAAATTAATAATTTATTTAATGTATATTTGCATAACTAGAAAATGAAAATCACTCAAAAATATTTTCCGATTGGCCAATCAACTTGTGTGATAGAAAATGGTCTAGTGATTTAATGTTGGAAACTGTGCGGTGTTGGCTAAAACCATTTACAAACACTGAATACAGTCCGGGTATGAAAAAATGTCATTCTTGGGGTACACCCTTGTTCATTGGTTTAATTTTAGTACAGGTAATTTTTATAATTATTTTATAAATCATTATTTGGACTAATTTAGTTTTGTTTTAAAATCTAGATTAAAAATTCTATTCCATCAAATGCACCGAAACTTAATATTTTACTTGATACTGTTCGGTTAGAATGGAGTCCTCCACTTGCTCAGTTTATATTAAGAGCATATAATTCTTTACAACAGTAAGTAAGACACATTACTTCATTGGATAGTGTAGTAATTATCATTATTATAGTTAATCTTGTACAATATACAATGTGATAATTTAGATGTCTTTATTATTTATTCCAGTAGTATTCACTGCATATTTTGCAAAACATATAAAGATATCTTTATATGTCTCTGATTTTTTGTTTTCTTCTAAAATTTGATTCTTATTTTTAGTTTCTATTATAGTCATCTTTTAGCAGAAGAACATATGTAATGCATTTATCATTTATAATTTTATTTGATTATATTAATACAAATATTAGTTATCTTTTGGTTTACTACTGGGTAAATTCTAAAATAATCTACTATTTTGAAAAAATAATATCAGAGGCATGAGAAAATGAGTATTATACAAATTAATCAGTGTTATGTTATTAAAAAAAAAAAAAAATCAATCACTATTAAGTGTTTTTTTTTACATTTAAATTGTTAGATTGAGTGTTTCTTAGGTAACTAACATTCTACCATTCAATCTTGCCCTTAATATGATTACAGTGGATTCTGCTTAGTGTGGACACACTGAGATCAAACCCATCTGCCCACGTTAAACGATTAGCCTTATAAATTGTACTAATTTCAAAAGTACCAATATTTTTAATATCGAAAAGTTTTTATTTTGTATGTGTAAGCCATACAATTGGAAAAATGTTAAATTAATAGACTAATAAATATAAAAAATAAAAATTAATAATATAATCTCAGCACGCATAATTTTTCAGCGGTTTTATATTGTAAGTGTTTGGAAGAAGAGATTTCACTTTGTTGTTTGAAAATTGCTATTTCTTTAAAGGAAAGATTTTTTGAGACATAGTCGAAAACGTTCACAATAACGTTGAAATTCTCAATAAAAGTGAAATGATTGTTATTGAATAAGAGAATAGAGCTACAACTTTATTGTTAATTTTTTTATGTATTTTTTTTTTTTTTGGAATTGCTCTCGATAACATTCCTATACCCTAAATTAAACTCATTGTAAAATCCCATTAAAGTTTAAAAGTTAATAATTATTGTTACGTTTAATATACACAATCTCATAGATATAACCAAACCCAATTGTATTAGTGATATTCTAATGCTTTGATAAAATAAATATTGCCTACCTAAACTGCACCAAGTTTTGCATTTTTTTACCCATATTAACCAGTATCCATATTAAACCGAGTCCACTGTTTTATATTTTTACAATTATAACTAACTGAAACATATACTAGTTGAATAATATTAATTTGTATTATATTATATTAATAAATTTAAATTATTTGTTTTATAGAATTTTTAGTGCTTTGGAAATAGACATGAATCCTGAAAGAAATCAATCTAATATTAAACGAAAAAGATGTCCAATTCATGAGTTTATTGCTACTAGTATTTCTGTAGAAAATGCAAATATTTTTTTTATAGCAGATAAGAAAAGTATATTTTTAATTGTTCGTTAAAATATAGTTTTAATTAATTAATTGTAACTTTTTATTTATGTAATTTGTAGTTTGTATTTTGGTAAGAGTGGATACAATTACTATAGACATTGGAACAGTAAAATTAACTTGTAAAATTGAAGGTCTCAAATGTGATTCCTTAATACCAACTAAATACCATTATGTTTGTACGTCATCAGATGATATAAAGGTATATTTTTTTATTCATAATTATTAATATTAAGAGAAAATAGATTATGGTTAAAATTACATTTTGATAATATAGAGCTGGTGGCTTCATATAAAAGCTTTAAATGTGAAAAAAATAGTTCAAACCAAAGAAATATTAATTGAAATAAATGAAATATTTGAATGTCGATGGAGTGCAAATGTTCACCTTAAGTTATTAACTATTTCTACTGACATATCAGATTTAAAAAATCATTTAGGTAGAGTTAAACAATGATTTATTTTAATCAATTTCTACTTATATTTATATTTTGTAATTTTATCTAATAGGTATGAATACTATAAAAAATCCAAGCAATTCAACATTTTATGATGTACAATTATGTGTTAAATCAAAATTCAAATTTTCTATGAAAGTTTCTTCTATTCATCATTTATTGTTTTCAACTGGTAATATTTTAATTCTATCATAACAATTAAAATATTAAGATTTATTGATTTTATTTATAGATGATTTGATGTATGTTAAGCAAAATGGCAAAACACGCCATTTAGAAAGCAAGAATTTTAAAGTGGCTATTGACCAATATAATATATTTACTGTAAAAGGTTTTAAAATGTTGAAAACTGATTTTAATAAAGAAGTTCAAGATGAGAGACAAAACTCTGAAGGATTAACTACTGAAGGAAATACTATTTGGTAAGAATAAGAATCTATTGATAGGTATTCTTGAAAATATTATGTGTATATTTATTGTTTTATAGGGATGTAGCCATTGAAAATTTAAAAATGATATTTCCTTATGGTTTTGAGTTTTATAGTATTTTTCAAGGTGAATTCTTTAGTATTGTTAAATGGTTAAAATTAATTCATAAAAAACCTAAGTCTCAACCTGAGCCACTACCAAGCGATATAATATTAAAAGTAAATTATTAATAAAATTTATCATTAAATATGTATTTTTGTATATATTATTAAATACTATATATTACAGATACAAGAGTTTCTTTTTGAATTGGGTGATGATGATTTTGAAGTTAAGCTAAGAGATAACTATGAGTTACTTGAAGATGAATATAAAGAAAGTTTAAAACGACAAAAAATGCTAGAAACTAAAGTATCAGAAGTAGTGAAAGATCGTTTACTTTTACCAGCAGGTAAAGTCGAAGAATTGTTAACTAGTTTACAAAAGATGAATGCTCAAATATATATACAACGTTCAAAGCAAATGAATCAACAAGCACCTGTACGAACTCGTTTATTTTCATGGACTATGTATGATCTTTGTATTATTATTTTGGCTGATGAATCTATGCATGGACCTCAAAAAGTTGTTAATCACATATGTGAAATGGATGCAGATAGCTTATGGCCTGAGGAAGGATTGGAATTCTGTATACTTTGGTGTCGAATGATTTTTGCCAGTTGTGCAGAATGGAAGTTTCAACTCAGAGATTTTCCTCAAACTTGGCTTGATATCAGAAAATTACAACTTTGGGGGAAATTGGCTGGTGCTGAACAAGAACCTAATCGTCGAGGTTATACATTAAATATTGTTATTCGTGTTCTATATTATGTATATTATATAAAAAATATATTATTATATTTAATATTTAATATTTTTTTTTTTAGCGAAAAGAAGTGTAACCATTGAGTTAAGTGACCCATATGGGGATGTAACTATTGAAAGAGGAATGACTTCCCTTAAATATTACTATGATTTAAATTGTGAAGTTGATAAATATACATATTCATTTGGACCATGTTGGGAACCTGTTATTGCACAGTGCAAATTATGTATGAAAATAAAACTAATTAAATTAAATTTATTAAAAATAACTTTACATAGGTTTAGAAAAAGTACTGGGTTCTAGTAGAGATCCTAGTCCACCATTACCATTTTGGGATAAAATCAGGTTAATATATCATGGTCGCTTAACAATGATTGTAAATGAATTAAAAGTAAAGTTACATGCATCTCTTGATCCATACAATACAACAGAGGAAATGGAATTGAACTGGTATAATACTGCAATGGATTGGACCAATGGTAAATTTATATTTTTATTATTAACATATATATTTTTAATTTTAATTTTTTTCTAGCTAAGTTTGTTTTCAAGGGTCATTTAAAAGTACTTGTACGAACAGCTTCTAAGTATGATGATGTATGTCTCCTAAATCTTCCTAACTTAAAATTGGGTATTAAATTAAAGTGGTCTTGTTTGGGTGATCCCAATGACCATTATTCTGTTATGCCTTGTGCTCCAGATAAATTACCAGAATATTCTAGTAATCAAGTAAGTTTTAAAAACAAAAATTATTATAAAGGAATGTTGTTACTGAGCTAGATAAAGTTGTTTTGTTTAAGTACACAGTTACTAATTTGAACCCAGTCCTAGCTATTTCATTGACCTTTCAGAACAACTGCCTTAGCAGAAGAAACTACCACTATTTTTTAATCAAACAAGTTCCCCTCATACATTATACAAATCTACCTATTTCTTTATAAAAACGTATACCTGACATAACAACCTAAATTATTGAAACTTTCATTGGACATAGAAAAAATTTAAAAAAAATAATGAGCATTATAAATATAATTTAGATCAATTTTTTTTTATTTAGGAACATGACTCTTTTAGAGCATTCCGTTCACAAAATCTTAATGTAAGTCTTTCTATTGAAACTAAACCAGAACCAAATTCAGTTTCTCCTCATACAGATACAGATTATCCTGTTGCACTTTTATATGGTAGTACATTAAAGTAAGAAATATATCATTTATTTTAAACACTATTTGTAAAAACAATTGAAGTTAACAATTTTTAAGTCTATATTATTTCAATAATTTTTAATTTATAGATGGTTTGAAAATTTAAAATTAATTCTGTCTGGTGTAACAAGACCTACCAGGCGTGGTCCATTATTTAATAATGCTAGATATCGTAAATTAACATTAAGTCGACATTACCGAAAACTTCACTTATGTGTTTCTTTCCAACATTTCCAAGTACATTATTGGATGTCCTTTGCTCTACAGCGAGGATTTGAGTTATTTGGGCAACGAATTTCTACAAGTTCAGAACATACTCTTAATTTAGTGTCAAATTTTGAAGATGACTTGAAACACCGTTCACGACCGGTTTGGTCTGTCGGCTATATGAACTGTGAATTAATGGATACAGAGATATGGTTAAAAAGTGCTCTACAATCTGAACAAGAAGATGAAGAAGTAAATATTATTTAATTTTTAATGAATCAGTTTTTACATTTTACCTCATATTGTAGGCTGAAATTAAAGAAAAACCTGTCGAAAAATGTTATTTGTTAAGTGTAAGTAAAGTATCATATGGTAGAGAAACTACAGGTACTTGTGAAGCTGATGGTACTCCAACTCCTATTCATAGATTAGTTGTGTATCATTTAAAAGGAGCTTGGACAACTAGAAATAGGGATGTGGCTTTTGCATTATTTAACTCTTTAGTAAAAAATCAGGTAAGTTTATTGTTTGTATATCTCAATTTTAATAATTAAAACTATTAATTCAAGAATATTTTATAATTAGAAATTAAAAAAAAATTTATCAACTGAAGCATTAAAAGGATTTTGCTTAAATGAAAATGGATGTACACCTTTGAAGAATCGTACAAGAAGTGCAGAGGTGGCAGAGCAGACTACACCTTTATCATCAGTTACATCTGTTGCATCATCTACTTGTCAAGCTAGTCCGTCCCCAATGTCAAAACTTCAATGTGGTGGTCAAGCAGCTACTATGCTTCAACAACTTATATCTGAAGTAGATAATAAACCAGTTGTTTTCAGTGATGATCTTTCTATGCAAGTTACAAGGGAACGGAGATTACAAGGTTTATCTGAATGCCAACAAGATGATGTTCTTTATAAAAATTGGTCAAGTAAGTTATTAATTCATAAGAAATTAGTTAAATATTAGATTATAAAATTATAAAATTTTATTTTTATCATTTTTAGTTTCCTTAATTAATAGCCAAGTTCTGTTAAAAGGATGTGAAACTAAGGGTTATGTGATAGTGAGCGCAGCTAAAGCAGAAATATTACAAAGAATTCATCGCCCTGTCTGGAAAGACCATTCATTAGTTTCTAAAACAACTTGGGTTGGTACTTTAGATAGTATGCAGTATTATGCCACAGTTAGTGCTGGGAAAACTGATTTTATCGATGGTATAATTGAATATATATATAAAAAAAAAAATGTTTACTTTGATAAAATTAATAAACATGTTAATATTCCTATAGAAAATATTATGTGGTTAAATGTTGAGAATATACAAGAAAAAGACATAGACAGTACCATAATATCTGATCTTCCCGATTTGCCACATCTTGTAGGAAGTGGTCATAGTGTTGGAGGTGTAGTCAGTGAAACAGTTGGTGCAAGTAATGTTGGGGAAAATTCTCCATTACAAGTAAATTAATTTTAAATTTAAATATTTACTAATATTTCTAATATTTTTATTATAAATTACTAGCTTCAAAGAATAGTTTCACGATGTAAATGTGAATTCTTTTATGCTGGTCATGGTGAAAGTAGTTTAAATCCAGCACATTTGACAGAAGTACCACCACCTCCAACAGCTACACCTGATGTAGTCGGTGATCCTGATTTACATGAACCAGTTGATGCATTTACACTAATGCATCATGATTTAGATGTTTGTACAAATTCTCTTCAGGTATTAAATCTTAAATTATAATGTTTATTATTTAGTAATGTTTAATTACATAAATAATTATTTTAGTATGCTATGATCTTGGATATTGTAAACAATTTATTATTATACGTGGAACCACGAAGAAAAGAAGCTTATGAACGCTTACAAAGAATGCGTTTTCAATTGCAACTTCAAAGTAGTCAAGATCATAGACAGCCCATTCAACAGTTGCAAAACCATGTTCGGTATTATATTATTAAAATAATGTCAAAATTAAATTTATTTGATAATTTTTTTTATAGGTGTCTAGTTGCAAAATTACGAAGATTGGAAAAAGAAATATTTTTATTAAAAAAAGAAGAATATTGGCAAAATGAAGAGTTACTGTCTTCTGAAATCAGAAGCTTAGAAAAACAAGTAAGAAAATGGTTTTTTTTTTTAGACTAAGTGAGAAACAAATTTTGAATTATCTTTAAATAACAATTATTACTGTTAGATGAATGAATTAAAAGATCAATTAAATTCTGAAAGTGAAGAATTAGATATGATGGTTTCTTGTTACAAAGAAACACAACTTCGAGCCACTCAAAAATTAGCAACGCTTAGAGGAGATAAACCAAGTGTTGTACCATCAAGAGCCAATGAAATATGCTTTAAACATGCTCAGTGGAGATTAACAGAAAATGATGGACAATTGGGCATTGCTGATTTAGTACTTAGTAATTTTTTGTATGTATTTAAATTTAAATATTGTATAATATATATCAATAAATTTATTAGTTATTATATTATATTTTTATTTTTAACATAGATATACAAAGAATTCAAAAAGTGATGATTCTGTTGAGCATTTATTAGAACTCGGTTATATAAGAATGACAAATCTTTTAGCTAACGAATTATACAAGGAGGTAATTGTTCCTACAGAAATTCAAAATAATATGCCAGTTGATGATCGAAAGGTTCAATATTTTAATTTTAAAAATAATACAATTTGATTTTATACATTTATTATATTTTTAGAGAGCAGTAAGAATATTTTGTAGAGAAAAAGCTCCTGTGGGAGGTATATCAGTCAAAGAGCATTTTGAAATTAATGTTGTACCCTTAACTATTGGTAATTATTTGTACACATTCTCAATTTTTTACATATATTAATTTTTTTCTATTAAATTAGGCATGACAAAAAAATTTTATAGCATTATGATGAGATTTTGTTTTTCTGAAAGAGATTCTGAAAATATAGATGCTGAAACGGATGAAAAAAATTCAACCAAAGGTAAAAAAAACAAAGAAAGTAATTTTTACGTGCCAATGGAACATAAAGATGATGTTGAAAAAATGAAGGTAAACTTACAATAAATTAAAAATTAACTATATAATTAATTTTTATAATTAATTTGATATGTAATCTAGGAAAGAGCAGAGAAAAATAAATTATTTATCTACATTAAAATACCTGAAGTACCTGTAAAAGTCAGTTATAAAGGTAACAAAGAGAAAAATTTAGAGGACATTAGAGATTTCAGTTTAGTTATTCCCACTATTGAATATCATAATGTAACATGGACATGGTTAGATCTTTGTCAAGCCATGAAAACTGATAGTAGAAGAGTTATATTGTCTCAGGTTTGTTACTCATTGATCTGTATTAACACTAAAATGAAAACCCAAAAATAACTTATTTTAGTATATAGTAATGGGTTTTTTGTAATTGATTATTTATTCTATGTATTTTAATATTTTTAAATGTTATTTTTCAATTAGGCTATTAAACATAAATTGCAAATAAAAACCAATAAAGCAATTGCAGGTGGAGGTGCATCACCACAAGAAGAAGATAAAGCACGAATGTTATTTGGCAATAAATTAGTGGTAAATATGAGCTAATAATATTTTATTTTTTAAAAGACATTTTTCACTAATAATTAAGTGCAATCACTCTATTAAATAAAAGTTATAGCTTTGTATTCAGATGAGTAACTATAAAATGCTATTATTATTTTTTTTTTTTCAGCACAATGAACATAGAAATTCTAAACGCGGCATATTAAAATTTCCTAAATAAAACTGCAATACTTTTATTTTTTATTTTCCATGAACTGTGATATTGAATTTAGTTACCTAAAAATGTATTGAAAGGATCGTATGCAAAATATTTGCTTTAAATTTAAACACTTAATTACAATTATTATTTTATAAACAAAGAAAAAGTTTTTATAGTGTGTGGCATTTAATAAAACCTTTATTAATTCTAAGTTTTATTTTTAATTATGGTAACAATTAAAATAAATGTACATGATTTATTTACTATTAAATATAATATATACAATATATTATATATTATATATATTAGTAAATATGTGTTAAGTGGAAAATACAATTATGGACTCATATTTTCTGAATACTTATATCATTTTCTATAAGTGTCTTTTAATTTTTAAAAGGTGTTAAGGCTTTAATAAATTTTAACATAAAATACATATATGAATTTTCTTTTAAATTTAGTGAGGCATGTTCAAAATAAAATTTGAACATTATTTCATAACACTCTTGAATAATTTGTCTATGATACTAAAAATAACTATTTATATGTAAATATAAAATTTTCATTTTTTTTTTTATTATTTTAAGAATATGTTTTTGTGAACAACTATACAATTAAAACATATTTTAGCAACATTTCTTAAATAAAAAATATTTAATTATTCATTCATCATTAATTTCTTTAATAATTAGTGAAATATACCTATGAAGATAAAATTATACTTATAAGAACATGCAACGGGTTTATTTCATTACTATACAAAGTAGAAATGTTAAAAACTCATAATTATTATCTAAATTGTTGTGTATTTAGCTACGTAATCAAATAGTATTATAACATGAATATGAAATAAAACAGAAAAATTATATTTCAAATGTATTATTACTAAAACATGAGTTCTCAGCCCTTTGAGGTCCGCGCCTCCTTTAAAACTATTTTATGTGTTCACTCCCCATCTCCTCACCATTCTTAGATTGATGTATGCATAATATAGCGATGTAAGCTTCACTTTAATGCAGGGAATGGATCTGAACCCAAGAACCCTTAGAGTATTGGGAACCAGAACCCTTATTATAAAATGAAAAATATCTGATGTAACAAACATTATTCATTATGTTTTTATTCTTAAAATTTCAAAGCATAAATAAATTAATGAGGTATAAGTTTTTTAAAAATTTTATTTTTAATCTTAATTTTTAATATTATGTGCTGACAGACGGATGACTAAAGGATTTTTTTTTTTTTTTTTAAATAATTTGGCTTTATTTGAAAAATTACGATCTATACAGTATGTACAATAAGTAATATAAATAATTTACAACAGTTGACCATGAATAGAAACATGAGGAGGAAATCACACATTTGTGACACATCTTATACGACACTAAAAAGGTTAAACAGGTTAATACTACAATTTCACCAATATGACGGTTATCTCAGTGGTGAATTGAGCAACTTATCCTATTATGTATAGTTAAAACTTAATTTAATTCATACATATTACTATTTTTCTACATGTACAAACTTTGTTTTTGGCCAAATAAATTATTATTATTTATTATTATAGATACAAATTTGAATCACAATATAATGAATTCAAAAATGAAATTTTATTTTGCATATTTTCTCATATTATTAAATATTATTTTTAGGCTATTATAATACTATAATATTATACATTGTTATATAGCAGTTAAAAGAAACTTATTGCAATATATATAATATAGATAAATTTGTTGAAGAGAGACATTTTGAGACATTTATTTTCATATTAGTATATTGCCATATTGCTTTGTATAATGCCATAATACTGGTAACATAATATATGTAATTTTTAATATGTATCAAAAAATACTACAGAATAAATTTTAAAATATTTTATTTAGAACCCTATAATACGGAAACCCAAACCCAAACATTTTAATAAAATAATTAAGAACCGGAGTACCAGTGCCTGCTTTGATATTGGTTATTGGATTAATAAGAACACAACTTCAATGAAGTTTTTTTTCTATTAAATTAATTTATTTGCATAAAAAAAAATTGATTATAGTGGCAAAGAAAGGCATAAAAAATAGCAGTTTTCATTTTCCATGTTTTTTTTTCAAAATTTTCACGCCCCCCTAAGGGGAAGCACCCCCAGGTTGGCAACCACTATACTAAGACATATTAGGCTATCAAAAATATGTTAAACTACAAGTTATATTATACATATACTAGATTTATATTTGCCTTGCTAAATGCCAATTTTTTATTTTGTAAAACTGTGTGTCAATTGGTATCTATGCCTGTGAGGTGTTTAAACATTTTGAAAGAATCACAGAACAAAATGTTCAAGATAAAAATTGATTTAATATTTCACATTTAATAACAAAAAATACTTGAATTATTGAACTGTTATAAATTCCTTTGAAATTTCTTTTCTTTTAGATTATCACAAATATTTTAATAATATATATTATAGGATAAGAAAATGAGGATATGCAAAAATGGAATAAAACACATAGGTACATTATAATACACTATTTAATCAAATAAACACATAACGGTTAATTAGGTGTAACCTAGTAAAATTACTCTTAATTAATAAATGTGATGTTTTATGATTACAATAACTACCAGCATATATTTTCTCTATAAAACTGTGCTCAATAATTTAATTTAATCATAAGTATAATTTTTAGTATATAATGGCTTATCCATACACTGAAAAGTAAATAATTAATTTTAAAGAAGCAACAATTTGTTTTCTAGCTGGAAAATAAGTTCTTCAAGGTTAAATATAATAATTAAAACACACTAGTAAATATTGAGTTCCTATTTATTAATAATTACATGAAGAGTAATTATAAATAAAAACAATTGGAATAATAGTTAAATAAACATTGTGTTATTCAATTACTAAAAACTTAATTTAAAATACAACAATAAACTACTATTTTTTTTCAATATTTTGCTAAAATGATGGTATAACATATTTTCATTCTATATATTCATAAGGAGATAATGTGGTAAATCCTTTGTATTTCTTTTTAGTTTTAAGACCTGTAACCAAATTAGAACTACGCGGAAATGCTGTTACACCTTCAAACATTATGTCTGTCTCTGGGTTAAATCTATGATAGGTAGACAATATATGAAGATTAGGTGGAAGTTCACGATTCTGAAGAGCATCATATGGTACAACTGTGTCTACAGGTGTTTCGTAGAACTCATATATATCACCTATAATAATTAAATAAATAAATAAATAAAATTGACCAAGTATGAGGTATAATTTAATTTCACCTAAAGTGTTCAGCGTATGTAAAAGTGAATTTGGTACTTTATGATCAACAACTTCATTACATTTTTTTAAAAAACGGAATTTTTCATTTTTATCTAGTTTGTAAGAAGTATGTGTTTGATTAACAGTATTATTTGCTATTTTTATAATAACATTCTTGATATCAATTGGGGGATCATATTCTTTAAGTGGCCTTAAAAATCTAAATAAACAAAATATTTCAAACTCATAGTTAAATAGGTACTATAAAATGTTAAATTTAATTAATTCTAAATTATTTTTAATAACTAAAACAAAATCAATTTTTATAATTTTCCTTGGTATTGTTATTTTTAAATTTGTTCACAAACCCTCTAGCAGCTATGGAGTTAGCTTTTCCCACAAATTTGCTTCGCGGAGGTATCCACGGTTTACTTCGTTTTACTTTTTTGTGTAAATTTCTAATCTGTAAAATATGTTTAATAAATCAATAAAAAGAGAATTGTATAGTTGAACATTAATTTCTCAGTATCTGTAACAATTTTTTAAGAGATGACAAATTACACAAATTAACTTAACATTCTAAATAGAAATAATTTTCAACAATTGAAGAGAATAATGGAATAATGAATACAGATGAATAATATACAATGCAATATAAATAAATATTAAGTTGAATATAGATAAACCATGACTGATGCATTTTTATGTTAAAATATTTTTGGGTTATACAATGAAAGTGAAAAACATATGTTTTCAAAAATAATTTCCATTTTCGTAATAGGTCAGGGGAAAAAATTTAATCATCTAACTGAATTAGGGTTGCCGTACGTCCCGGAAAACCGGGATTGTCACAGGATTTGAACTTCGTGTCCTGGGTTAGACGTTTAGAGCAAATGTAGTATTGTTTCATTTTTAATCGTAATCGATTGACAATATATAATAAAACATAATTAGTGATTTACACATATAAATATAAAATGTATTTTATTTTACAAAAATATTTTTAAATATTATATTGCCGGCCATTAATGGTCCATTTTAGTGGCGTATACATAACTTTTGTATAGCGGAGTAATGATTTGCAAACAAATTGTTATTATATAACATTTAAAAAAAAAGGCCTGATCCCCACATCCTCCCCATGTATACGCCACTGGTCCTCTCAACATATTAAAAGTTATATAAAAAGTATATTACTCAATAATGTGTTTGTTTTGTCCTGGTTTCACCTTATAAATTTATGACAACCCTAAGAGCGATTACGATGTCAGTGCGCACGTCGTGGAATTTAATGTCAAATGACAATAATTAATAACAGTAATTATAATTACATTTATAAAATTTTAGGTGAAACCGTTTCGAGCGAAAATGACTAAAGAAAAAAGGTAATAATTTTTAATTAGTTTACAGCATGGGAAATATCGCGTTGGCAGTGTGGGCCGACACTGTTGTTTAGCGCATGACGATGAAAACATTATTTTATCAATACGAATACCATTTTGATAATGATTTTATTTTTTTATTCGCAAAAATTATGTTTTATACCTTTCCGCTATCGCTATCAAAAGTGATATCGCTTCGAGTGCGCGCCAGTCAGGATCTAAATTTACCAACACTTTTACCGACATTTATGTTGAAACATTAAACGTATTTCAATCGCCATGGCGTTCTCCGCACGTTGTCAAAAACATCGGTTTGCCGGCATAAACGATGCGCGTCGATATTGATTTCGATGAATGTGCGCTTAACGTTTGGCGAATACGGCCATAACCTTCAAAAGGAGATGTAAATAGTCCACCGCAGTCGACATAGAGACGAACGGAAAACAATAATGATTATTGTACGTTACGAAACTCGTTCGTCGCGACATACTTTGTAGTAGCAAAACTACCATTTTGTGAAACGCTCGTATACATAATAATAAATTCGCCATTTACCTGGTCGTACAGCACCGCATTGTTATTGTTGTTATTATTGGCCGCAGCAGACGGTAATAATCGCAGCGAAGCACTGGCGAAGCGGTTTAGAATGTGAAGGGCCAACGTCATCGTAGTGTCTCGACTCCGCGATAATATAATATACACCTATATTTCGGCGTTGTGACGGCGTATGTTTTTACCGCAGTGGCCGCAATTCTGGTTACCACTGTGTTAACCATGTGACGGGTGTTGAACCAATCGGGTGCGCGGGTCCTTCGTTTTGTGCGTGCGTGCGTGCTCTTTGCGTGCGTGCGTGCGTGCACTAGTGTGTGTGTTGGTGTGTCCGCCATTTTACGCGACTCGCCGTCGTCGAACATGAACAACAACGCAGCTCCGGGCGCATCGGATAATGATTGTCGCGTTTCCGGCCTGTGATTATGTCCGTACGCATTATTGACGCACGCCCGTCTTTCGGCCGAAACTGTTTCGCGTGTACCGCCGCGTCGTCGTGGTCGTGGTGTCCGCGGTCCGCCGGCACCTCAGCCGTGGTGTTTGTGTGACGTCCAAGACGTCGTCGTCGTCATCGTCGTCGTCGTACCGGACGAAATGTCTAACGAAAAATGACTCACTCCAGCCATCAGACCAACGGCGCCAGCTTGGAGGATTGCCACACAAACTTCTTCGCCCTGGTTAGTAAGCACATCGTTGTACTCGCTCATGTCGCCGCGTACCTGTCACTATTGTGACAGTATTTTTATTTTTATTATTTTCATTTTTTGCATCTTCCGACAACCCCCGACCACCTCCTCACCACAACGAGGGTCCGTCACCCGCGGGTGTAGGGCCCTCAAAATTGGCACCCCCCTGATGGCCTGTTCGTAACGGCAGTCCGTCGTTGTAACACATCAACCGACGACATGACTAACTGTTTACATGGACTGTTGTTGTTGATACCATTGGCCTTCTTCGGTCAGTCGTCATTGTTGATGTGCTGCTCCTATAGGTTGACCGAATATTTTTTCTCTATAGATAACAAGTGTATAAAATTTGTGATTTATATGTAACAATCTCTGCAGTATTTGAATTGCATGTTGACCTATTTAGAAAACATTACTTTCAAAATTGGTGGTTGTTATGTTATGTTTTGGTGCAGGTTCAATGTTTAAAATTTCATTTCCTTAATTTTTGCTGATGAATATTAAACTGTAGTATCATGGTTATAATAAATTTTATTTAAAAGGACATAGATAATAAATATATACATTAAAAGGATACAAAAAATTCATAATTGTTTATTGACATTAAATTATTACTATTTATTTAATATTGTTTTAATTTTTGAGCTTCTGATAATTTTTGTTAATGTATTTGATCCTTTCAATTTTTCAAAAAGCTTTTGTTCTAACATTTACAAATGTATTGAATAATTTAACATTTAGTTTTCTTCGTGTTCCAAAAATCAAAATTGTATATTTTTGGCTCAAAACATAATATTTATGTACATAACTGTTAAGTTATAATTTCATTGGTAATTCATCTTGTTTGATAAACAGGTCAAATAGTTCTTGGTCATTAATGATAATCGATAAAGTATTTCTGAACTATTTAATTTGCACTGTTTTTCTATTAAATTTTAAGATTTATTTTCAATTCTGCTTATAGAATTAGAGTTTGTAAATATGTATATACATCGCAGCATAGTATGATTTGCTATACGCAAAGTTTTTGAGATTTAATTATTTAAAATATTGAAAATTTATCTCATAAACTTCATTTGAATAATTCTATAAATATTGTTTAAATTTTAAATATTTAATATTTTTGTTTTCTTTTTAAATCTTCATTGTCAATGATATATAATTTCAGTAATTTTAGGTATATTATTTTATATCCAATGATCATTTTATTATCTATTCAGATAAGACGTCACACAATTGACTTTATACATCATTAATATTTTTTTGTTAAAGCGATGTACCTTTTCTAACTTAATCATTAAAAATAACAAAATTCATATATCATGAAATTTTCAAAATTTCAAAAAATGTTTTATTAATTTCAAGTTAAATGTTTAAAATTTAGATTAGCTGTACTAATTACAATTTTTTTTCAGTTATAAATATATTTTGTAGGTAATATCTACCTTTTAATGTTGAAAATATTAGTAAATTTTAATTTTAACTGCTAATATTATGTTTAAAATTTAATTTTTGATGTGTTTATTTACTACTCTATTTATTGTCTATTAAATTTAATTTATATCTAATTTCTCTTATTAAAATATAATGGAATTATTTTGAACAGTAGGCATACTTTTATAATTAACATCAAACATTTACCGTTACTAGTTTCAAGTAATTTTATTTAATAATAATAAATATAAATTTTTAAATTTTATATTATTAAACCATAACAAAACAATTTGCACTATAAAACAGCTGTTTAATTATCTAATTAATTTTTTCTTCTTTATTTTAGCAACTGAAATGTATGTATTTGGTTAATACATTAAATATTTATGATAAGAGATTGTTTAGGCATGGGCATAATATATTTACTGTCAAATTTTTTCTTTGATATGATTTTTCTTACTTTTGTTATAAGTAATATGACATTTTTAATAAATATTCCATTCAAGAATATTATATTTATTTAAAAAAAATGAATTCTTATATTTTTCTTCATCATCTAAGTATTTATACATTAATTACTTCTAGCAACTTAAGATATAAATTATCAATCAAGTAATCTATATATTTGTCTATTATGGTAATTGATATTTTGCATAATTTTAAAATGTACAAAATAATATATTGTTCTATTTTACATAAATTTTGATGAATAATTATTTAAGAAATATTTGAAAAATCGTGTAATAAACTTAAAAATTAACCTTATAATTTTGTAGGTGGAATGAACCATATTGTTTTTAAAAATTAAAGTAAATATACTGCTAATTATTTCAATTTGTGCTTATTGGTTTTAATTTGTCTACTATTTTTCTTTTTTGTTATAAAAATTTGCAAGTATTTATAAAGAAAAATGATCAATATTAATTTATTATAATGTGTGAAATCATATTTACTTAATAAATATGCTTACATTTTTGTTGGTGTTAATTATTATTATGTATATAGTACTTTGTTTACTCTACTATTTTATTATTTACCAACATTATATATAGTTTATAGTTTAAGATTGCTGCTGTGCCAAACAAATTAAATTTTTATTTTTTTAAGTATTTAATATTTTGTCATTAAATAAGATATTTTTCTTATCTTAAGAAAAAAATTTCATTATCTCTTCAACCCCAATTTTCACCCTTTTACAAAATGAAAAATCCTAGGTATATGTTATTATTGATGTTTTATTTGTTGACTAACAGCTAGAGGGTTAAATCTTTCATTTTTTTTTCTTACCAGTAGTCTTTCTTAATATTTACCAAGTACTACTATAATAGAATTGAGCAAATAGACCGTTCATTATCATAATCAAAACAAATTTGTTTGGCCGTATATTAAAATACCAATGACACTTACACTTGTTAGTATCTGTACAATTTCACCTACCATATTTCTCGTTGGTAGAACACGAAAGCCAAACATATGTACTTTCTCAGTTAAACGAATATTGTTTACAGTCAACAAAAGCACCACCGCCACTGTGTGCTTCTACGGCTTTTGTTGTTATTGTTTTATTATTATTGACTATTTTTTTTATTATCAGACACCACGGTTAGACGCGCGCGCGCGCTCGTAGATAAGCAGACACATGGATTAAATTTGCATTTTCTACGAGCTAATAATATCGATTCCTGCGACCACATATTACTATATTTTATGTTACAATATCATGAAATATATAAACCGTTTACTTCCTGAGCAATCAGTCTAATTTTTTTTTCCATAAAACATTTTTCTATTTATTTATATACTTTAATAACTAAAAATATTTACGTGCTCCCGCACACTCACACACACACACACATAGTGGCAATGTCCTGTGTATTTTCTAACCGTTCTTAGTGGTTCTCAAACAAAAAAACTGACGGCTGACATTATCATTGTTTTTTTTTTTTTTTTTCCAGCAGAACATTTCATCAACATTTCCGTATCGGTTTAATATTGATTTTTCCCGCGTCTACCAGCCGGACGACCGGTGCCGCCGCCGTCGTTTAAATACACTCGCACACGGCTTATTGTTGGTCCGTATTTCTTCGAGGGGTCCTTATGAAAACGTTCGGTTTTGATACACGGTAGTGGATTTGAGAGTCATAATGCTATGTAATAGTATTAGTTATGTGTTCAAGCGACGGGTGACAACGATTTTGTTTGAGGTTGCTTCCGATGTGTGACTGCGCGTCACACAACTGGCGTGTACTGTAGTACAATAAAAATCGTGTGATCCTAGTACGTCTGACTATGATATAGTTAATTATTATGTTTAATAGGTTTGCCGATATTGGCAATGTTGCTGTTTTTCCGCTTGATGCGTATAAATTATTTGTTAACATTTATTAAGGTACCTAAAGTAGAAAATTCTGCGTTTAAAAATATTCTGGATGTTTTGGATTGTATCAATGTATAGTAAAATCGTACGTTGATCAGCCACATGGCCATCGATTTTTTATTTTAGTCTTGTAATAATATGCAATAATCAAAGTATGTGTGAGTTGAACGTTCTAGTTTTATTTTTTGATCAGGTGTTTTCTTTCTCATACATCAAAGTATCTACAGTTGAAGTATGCAAAAATGTCCATCGCCGCAATTTAACATATTTAAATAAAAATTATAATACATTAAGTGTATATTGTTATGCAGCCAATTGTTTTTTTTATAATTATGATTATTGAATATTTAAAAGTTTAAAAAATAAACTGGATTAGTGGGGTGAAGGATCGACATCGTACTCGAGAACGCGAGGCCATTGTACATTTCAGCGTCATCCGTTCTTTTCACCCTTGCCGCAAAACGGGTTCACTTTTGAGATAATAATATAATTTCGATGGGGTGATAAACGGCGGCGGCGGTGGTAGCATTTACCCAATAATAAATACGTATGTAATGCGTGTGTATTTCTGCGCGCGTGTCTCCCTTATTCACCCCATCAAAGCGCAATCGTAGTATTAATAACACGACTCGCTTAAATGTAATCATTGCCGTCTACAATAGTCCTTAGTCCTGTGACAATAAAACGTCGTCGTTGCGCTGTGAAAAGTAGACATCCCACAGTCTCGTTAGTCCTCCCTCTCTACAACCGTACACAACCACAGCGGTGAAAACACCTCGGACGAACGTTGCGTCTGAATAACTGACTCGCTTATTCTCAGAGTGACGAACGCCGGACGGAGAAAATCGCCTTGTGGTGGGACAACGACGCTGATCAATAGTTTTTCACTTTTCGATTGCGTTAGTTGTTTATTATAATTTTTTGACCGATGAGCAATCGCAAACATCTCGATTACCGATATTCGGACTTTCTCCCACCCAGACCCAACCGGTCCGAGGGGTGTTTTTTTCTCATCAACGGGTTGATACCATGGATGAAGCCTAATCGGTGACTGCTGTCATTTTCTTCCCTTGGTCGACCGATGTGCATGTAAATTATGTGTGTGTGTGTGTATTTATTTATTGTGTTACGTACGCTGCGGCTGCGTTCCCTCGGAGTTTCACCGCCGGCAGATGTTCTTTTCGGGTCGACGGGGCCGCCATCGTGCGGACACGCCGAGGAAAAACATCTATATGGTTAGTATGCAGTACGGTGGAGGGACTGCAGTGGCGGCACGACGACGACGAAAGCCTCATCGTAAGCGGGGGGCGACGTTGCCGCGTTCGGTCACGGTCGGCGATCGTCTTGCGCAAAAATCCGACCGACACCGACCTCTTTCACTTCGGCCGGTGTCGTTACGCCGTAGGATTTACATGCAGTTTCTTTTGATCGTATTGTTGTGTGTCGTGGTGGTGGGGTCCACCATCGCCGCTTCCACCACCACCCGCTACCACCGTCGCCGACACCTCTGTAATTCCGCGTACCGTAACAACCGGACGCGTGCAGTGGTTACCAAAACATTAGAAAACATCACGAAAACTCATCCAGGGGTTTTTCTCTCTTATTTTCCATATTTTTTTATTCTAACGTTGTAATTTCGACCGCGCTTCTAGTATTCCCCTTTGGTACGACGTTTTTTTTATGACACGGTATGAAACCAATAATATTTCACAATTTGATTTTATCGAACTATTGCTGAGCGTGGTGTGCTCACTACCACCGCCGCCGCCGTTCTCTATTTATTCATCCATAGGTATTTTGTTTTTACGAACGAGGTCACGTACTCTTTTTTTTTTTTTTTATATATATTTATTATTTTTCCTTTTGTCTCCCACCAAATCATACACAGTGACTACTGTGTGTGCCCGGTGAAAATGCGGTGCGTTTCAACAATCACTGTAATTCCTAATATTATCAGTACTATTTCCTGTTCACTTTTTCTCCGAATCCACCGTTTTCTTCTGTTTTCCATTTTTCCCCTACCCTTTGGGCCAAGTGTTGCCAACCCATTCTGCCGCTGAACTCTGCGATTTAGGTATCGTGGGTGGCCCTATTCTGTACAGCGATCATAATACCAAGAAACAACAGAATAAAAAACAATCGTGTGTTCAAGGCACATCATTCAGGTTATTAACACCAGCCGGCTACCGCCCGCCCCCGCCATCGGTCTGCGTTCACCGAGGGTTAACGGTGTCTTCTTTGGCTTTCTGGTAACTCGTTTACCCGGTGCGCTCCCACGCGAACCTTCTTACTGTGTGTGCATCTAGAACACCCATTCATACGCTACATTATGCTTCGGCAGACACGAAATACGTACATTTTATTATAAGTAAACCATTACCCGAAGAGGCCTCGCACAAATTAGCCTCCCGAGATAACAACTGTATCTAAAATGAGTAATAAAAATAAATTTAAATTAATTCAGGCCAAAGTTGTGGTGATTAATATAATGTCAATGTATGAGACCTTCGACAAAAATTGCTATGAATTCTTAATTTTGTGTATAACTTTTCATATGCTTATTAATATGTACATAGACTCCAATTTTTTTCTTTTAATAACGTATTATGTTTGAAAGAACTTGTGGAAACTCTATCAAGAAACGGGTCTCACCCAAAAGACCGATGACCGAGAAAAGGGATAAAAATGTTAAAAAAAAATTGAATAAATATTACGTACGTGATGTCCGTTTACTCTCACATAATACCCACCCTTAGCTGTATATATATATATATGGTTTTGGTGCCCACTGGAATGCGATGATCCTCCGCGCTATACAGCTTTATGTTCACCGCGGCACACCGATGACGGCGGCGTTGATGGTCTCCTCCGTAACACTGTATGCATTAGTCGTAGTATAGTAGTCTAATTTAACAAGTCAATTTCTGGACGGCAGCATCTTATCGGTTGGTCACATTTTTAGATTGTGTGTGTGTGTATGTTAACAGTCAAATATAACAAAACATATACGTTCGTGGTAGGGGGAAACTTGTAACGAGGATTGTATCCAATACAATATGCGTTCTCGATGTGGGGCTGAATACGCGAAAGGGTAAATCGGCGTGACGCCACAGGGTCGTTTCGTCCACCAACGGATATTGATTTCGACTAACACGCGGAAGCGAGGGCGGCGGGTCCATTCCTTTGGGAAGACGAGGATGCATAGTCGATAATGTCTCTGGTCCCCTCTCCTCTCTCTCTCTTTTAAAAACTGCTTTCGCGCTCGTCGTGCTCGTGTTTTTGTCTCGAAAATACACTCGGCTTTTTCTTTTTTTTTCTTACGAAATCATATTCTCGACACCGATTTTCGTACGTATTTTTATACGCATATTCTCCTACCCCTCCTCGTCTTTGCAAAGTCGATTAAACCATACTTGTATGCTAACCATACCATGCTTGTATGCTTTGACGATATATTTGATATTCCTCAAAATATTTCTCCCTTTCGACGTTATCAGATCGTAGCCGTTGAACGTGTGTACACCGATGGTGAATAGTTATCGGTTCAACTAACCCTTACATTAACCCGCCACCTCCGTCACCACCCTTTGGTAAATTACACCTACTACCGTTACTGTTTTCGTTGTTTGTACAAACGGAATTCACTACCACGTGCCTTTGTATAATGGCGCGCAACCGCCGCCGTCGTGTCGTTTTAGTAGTGTCCCGCTTGAACCATTTGTCTTCTATGTGTATTCCGTTGCCCCAACATGTGTCATTTATAGCTAAATTTAAGTGTAAACCCGGTTAAACAAAAAGAACATTTATCGTTGTCGCACATTTGAGACGAATAATTTCGGATAACAATAATAAAACAAAAATAGTCTTAACCATTATTGACTTCTGTCCCTATACGGATTTAGTCTCTTTACATCGCAAATTTATAAATGAACAATGGAAGCTGGAATGGGATTCCTTACCAGAATCCTATGCTTTTGGTTATAGGTCATTATTTAAAAACATCCCTAATCAACCATGGTTTCATTCCCTAAAGATGAGCCGTGCAACCATAGCTAAATTCACTAGATTACGCACGGGCCATAGCCTATTACCACACCACTCGTTTAAATTGGGGCTTAACAGTAGTGCGTGTTGTCCCCTACCCAACTGTGGTGGAGAATACTGTGATTTCCATCACCTACTCATAAATTGTCAATCTCTCTCTATTCAAAGATCTCAGCTAAAGATTCTCTTTTTCATATCTGGTATTCATTTTTCCCTTATTGATGCTCTTTCAACCGACAATACTAATATAATCAAACATACGCTAAATTTTATTCTGCAATCAGGTCTCCGAATTTAAGAGTGTGAGCTTTACCAACCTTAATTTATTTCAGATTCATGTACATAATTGTCGAGATATCATAATGTAACGTTAAAATCTCATTAAATAAAAAAAAAAATTATTGACTTCCCAGTAATATACATATTGTATTTAAGTTATGAGTATACATATAGTATAATTTGTATTAATAATTTAGTCTAATAATTAATTATATGATCATTAATTACCGTGTTTGATGGATAAAACTGAGATGTAGATTGAAAATAAATAAAATAAAATTATAACTATGAATACTTAGCAATTATTTATAAATTAAACAAAAATGTATTATTTTTGTAAAATGTGTCATAAATTACCATAAATTACTAAGTTAAATTAATTGTATTAAATTATTTGATGTTTTATAAGTAGAGCTTTAAGTTGCTGTGCTTTATACTAAAGTATAATATTTCAAAGAATATTTTTATAATTTACTTTTTTTCTAAATAAACAAAATTATATTTTATGTTTTATAAATGTTTAAATCCACTACTAATTATAATATGTCTAATATTCTAATATTATTATATTGGTATCAAATAGTAACTTTATAAATATATAACTTATCTTATAGTTCTTTATTCTATAAGAAATGTCCATTTGATGTGTAAAACAAATTTATAAATAAATATAAAATCATTAATTAATAAGCTTTTTACATAACCAAATAAATGGATTTGCTTAGTTTACAATTCTAGTTTAAAATCTTGAGCACTAAATTATTATCATTATTATTATTATACATATCTAATATATTTATAAATATACCATAATGTGTTACTTTTGCTCAAATATTGAATTTATAACTTGTTGAAAGAAACTTATATTTCCTAATGCATTGAAATTAGTATAGTTAATATAGATATTATTTTTAAATTTGATTTTAATTAATTAGTCTAAATATATGCAATTTTATATAACAGTTTGCTATTTTGATTAAAATTTAACACAATACATACGTTTTTTTCATAATTGATTTATTATTTCAGACTGACCTATGTGGTATAAAATGGCGTAAGTTTGTTCATTGTTCAGCCGGTCCAGAAGGACCTCCTGACTGGGGAGGTGGTCCTGGTGGTGGAACCAATGCCTGTGGCTCAATACTTGAGGATCCAGTGTTATCCAGTTATACAAGATGTTTAACCCATGACATGTTGGCTGTATGGCGGCGTGTCTCATTGCCGCCAGCCAATTCCCAACAGTCATCACTTGATCCCTTGGTACCTGCTCCACCCACACCAGTACCTACTCTTCCACCAGCACTCTCTTTGAAAGCATCAAAAGAGCTGTGGATATTTTGGTATGGTGAAGAACCAGATCTGACTGGACTTGTTTCTCCTCAACTTTTACTTAATGGTAAGTTAACATTTGTTTTTATTAATTGCAAACATTTGTTTTAAATATGATAAAAATTATTTACAGAAGGTGATAATGGTTCATGGGAAAGTGGCCTTTCATACGAATGTCGTTCACTTTTATTTAAGGCCCTTCATAATTTAATAGAAAGGTAAATTTGTAAAATATTCTTTATCTATTTAAAAATTCATTTTTTACAATATTTATATTTTATTTTAGATGTTTAATGTCAAGAGACTTTGTTCGATTAGGGAAATGGTTTGTACAACCCTATTCATCTTCCGAAAAACTAGATAATTCAAGGTAAGTGGTAAATTCAAGGTAACTTATAAATTTAATGAACATTTTTATTTTTATGTTGATATTTTTATAGTTCAAGTCATTTGTCATTTTCTTTTGCGTTCTTTGTTCATGGAGAAAGTACTGTTTGTGCTAGTATTGATGTACGACAGCATTCTGTTGTACGGACTTTGTCTAAAGAACATATAGCACAAGCATCCTCTCAACCTCAAAACGGAACAAATGTTCAAGGTAAATTTTGTTATTATTTTGTAATACCAAAATATTTTTAATTCATTTTTTGGTATTCTAGTTATGCTTGCACCATTTGGCCTTGCTGGTACATTAACTGGTCATGTATATAAAAATATGGATGCTGAAACTAGCCGAATGATGGATGAATGGAGCCATTTTTATCCAGTTGTCAATAGTAATGGACCAAACGAATTGTCTCCTGCGGTTGAAGTTATAGTTGGTAAGTCATATTGTTTTTCCTCATTTATATTTGTTGAATCTAAAATATATTTGAATTTATACTTATTATTTTTTTATTTTGCCATTATTTATATTATACAGTAGACACCGCTTGTAAATACACTTTGGGTATATAATTTTATTTTATTTGTGTAGGTGGTGTTAAGATGAGGTATCCATCTTGTTATGTTCTGGTAACTGATTTAGATGAAAGTACTGCTGAGTTACATAAAAATAATAATAATCTTCAAATAAACCCCCAACAACAACAACAGCAACAGCAGCAACAACATCCACCATTACAACAACAAAGTATATGATTCATTGTTAGTTTAATTTAATAATTTTAACATTTTCGTTTTAAATTTTAAAGCATTACCTAAGCAACAAATATTTGTGACTAAACATCAACATCATTCAGACACAATAGTATATGCTTTGGATAATACAGTATCGTCCATACCTGAACGAGCATGGCAAGATTGTGTACTTGGACCACTACATACAGAACAGAATACCCCATCAAGACCTGAATCACCAACGTTGGGTCAATGGCATATATCTGATCCATTACAAAAATTAACATGTTCCTGTACAAGGTAAGATAGTTTATAATTATTTGATAGTGAGAGAGATTATATGGTGTGTGTTTTGGGAGCTTTGGAAGTCGATCGGTATTTGTTATCGAACCGGCTGTTTACAGGTGTAGAAAAACGAGTTCCAAGCACCAGACACAGCCAATTGGCACACCATTCCATAGACGCACTCCCCTCCCTGATATTTTCGTCGCACAGCAGCTGCCACCCGATGCAAACAATGCCACCCTCAGGTTTGTGTCTAATGATGAGACGCTTGGGTGGTGAAATGGTGTTGTAAATATAACTACATGGGTTGTGTGTGGTGTATAAAAAAAAAACAATTTTTTATATTTCAAAATTAAATTTTAACTGAACAAATAAATTAACTCTAAATATAATTCATTTAAATTTGGTTTACATGTTGTTTATTTAATAAGTATACTTACTATACTTTTAAATAATTATTAATTATGGATACATTTGATTTATTTTAAATAGGGATTATTATAACGGTTTATTTTAAATTGCAAATGTTTGATTTGTGAAATGTATAAATGATTGATTACTGCATATAATAACAATTAATTATCATTTTTATTATAATATAAAGTTCTATGGCATGCAATGGTGGTAGTGTTGGGTTATATGAACATTTAAAAATAATAAATTTATTTTGTATAAGTGTAAATTATATGTAAATGATTGCATGAACTATTATATTAAACAACTAATATAAATGGTTTTGTCCCTTATTTTCTTAAACATTATGCTTTTTAATTTTAATTTAATTTAATTTAATTAATGTTTTAATATTTTAGGTCAACACGATTTGGTCCAATGGATAGTCCTTGTGGCCTAGATTCCGTGCCTCCTTTGCCTTCAGTATCAACCCCTCCATCTGCTGGACAACCCGCCCCACTTTCAATTCCTCCTCCAATGCTAAGTCCACACGATGAAAAAATCCCCATCACACCTCTTTCAGTTGACTTCCAACCTAAATCTGTTTCATCTGTTTCCAATCAAGTATTTTCACCTTATCCTTCCTCTGCTCCTGCTAGTCAGGAACCTCATAAATCTGGCCGAGAAAGTAATGCTGGTACACCTGCACCAGCTAGTAATACTGTAAGCATACCAGCGACTACACCAACTACTACTACAACACCAGTTCCAATGCAAACACAAAGTTCAAGTGCTTATATAACATTAAAAAGACCACAGCTCTCTTCTAAAGATTATGAAGCTAACTTGATTGAGGAAGAATTAATGCCATCTAAACTTTTGTATGATTATTCGTGCATTGATGCTTGGTTGTATCATCCAGTAAAGAAATTTAAACCTATTATACCAAAACAAGAACCTATTACAAGAATAAATAATATAACAGATAATCCAACATCTCCTCAAGTTTACATTAGACGAGATACAAGTGTACCCATACTTCCTGTAATTTAAAATTATTATATATTTTATATTATTTTATAATGCTTATTAAATTATATATTTTATGCGTAGGTTGAACCATCTGAAAATCCATTAAATAATTTTAGTAGCTTTGAAGAATTACGAAATAATGCACTTAGATTTAAAGGTGGTCGTTCAGATCCTTATGATTTTGATGAAGAAAATGGTGTTTGTTCTAGCAATAACATAATGGTTTCTAATGATTACAAAATGAATACTACTATGGCTGTGATGAAGGTAAATTATTTAATCAATTATTTATAAACCATAAATAATATTGTATGTCTTATTATTTTTAAAAATATAGAAATAATATTGCTTATAATAAAAATTATAAGCTATTTAAAATTATTTTTATTTTTTTTTTCGTGTAGCATGAAGATATCAAAAAAGAATATGACCCGGGATTAATGAATGGGAATAGGTGTATAAATGACAGTTTAAGGGATCTTGATCATATGTTTGACAACTCTGATGATTTATCTAGTGATGAAGCTGTGGCAGCTGTAAGTATTAGAGGGAGTGTATTACATTATATTACATTTTAATTTATAAAAATATTATTTTAACATTTTGTAAATGGTAACAATATTTTACAGTTACAAATGCAAACACCTCCTGGCTCAAACAAACCTGATGATTGTCTTGGTGGGAGTTTGACAACACTCTTGGTAAGACCTCCTAGAGGTAGTGGTGGTGGCAGTGGCGGTGGTGTTCTAAGGCCTGAAGAATTAGTAAAAATGTTTCCAACTCCTCCGTCATTAGAACATAATCCTATAGCATCTCCTTGTCCTGATATAGATTTACTTCCATCTCGTACTTACCAAACAAACTCTTACATGGGAAGTCCTCAATATGACCACATAGATGTAAGTCTTAATAATAATAATTAAAAAAAGAGAAATTGTAATAATTTTTATTTTATTTTAATCTTTAGGATTGGTCATACGTATATAAAACTCCAACTATAGCAAAAATGGTTGGCTCTTCTAAATATGCACCACTCACAAATCTTCCGAGCCAAAATTTACCTCCATTAATGGTACCTTCCAATTGTGTATATAAGCCTTCCTCTTTTGTTTATCATACATCACCACAACCTCAACAAATTCAACATCATCCACCTGAAAAGCAAATTCAGTAAGTTTAACTTAAACATTTTATATTTGATTTCTACTTTAATTTATCTTAAATTTTCAATATCTCTACTTAAGATGAATGATAGACCTAAAAAAAATGTGCATATCTATAACTCATATTTAATTTTGTATTTTTTATGAGATTTTTAAGATTTAACCTTAGCAATATTCAATACAAAAATATTGAGTAAATGTTGTGTATTAAAACAAATAACATAAATACCGATAGAATTTAGTTGTAAGAAAGTCGTACAATTAGTCATTAATCACATTAATCGAAATTCAAATTGTTATAATAAACAAGAAGTATAGAAACTTTGTTTTTTCATTTTGCTTGATAACAAATATTTTAAATATGATAAATATCAAAGTATTCAGTTTCTAATTTCTTAAAATTATTTTTTAGGATTGTACCTCCACCAGCATCTTCGGCAAATAATAATTTAGCACCAAATATGAATCGCAATAATCATTATCATCATCCAATGATGATGAGTCCATCACCTCATAGTACACCATGGCCTGGAGGAGGGAATCAATATCATCATCGTCCACCACCACCACAACAACAAATACAACATCAACAAGTGCCTCCTCCACCTTATAGTCCTGCTCTTTCACAACACCACAATATGAATGTTGTACCAACTAATATGTCACCACCTGTACCTGAAGCTAACTCAATAGTTGTGAATGTTTTATTAACTGACTCATTATTAAATGTCTTCCGAGATCATAACTTTGACAGTTGCACATTGTGTGTCTGTAATGCTGGTCCAAAAGTTGTTGGTAATATTAAAGGCACAGATGCCGCAGTTTATCTCACTCATACTTTGACACCAAATGGATACTCATCTCAGTATCAACATCATATGTCTGTTGGAATTCCTGGTAGTTATTAAAATCTAATAATATTAATTATTTATATAATATATGAAATTTGTACTCAATTATTTGTTTTAAATGTAGGCGATGAAGATGGAATTCGATGCAGTTGTGGTTTTAGTGCTGTTGTAAATCGCAGATTATCTCATAAATCAGGATTGTTTCCAGAAGATGAAGCTGAAATAACTGGACTTATTGAAGATATTCCTGTTCGTGTTGATGATAACTCTATGAACCCTGAAGTTCTAGAGTTAGTTCGAGAACAATGTGCTGCTGTAATTTATAGTGCATGTAGTTCTTTAGTACGGGCTGCAGCTAAGTATCCTATAAACCATCCACCGCAAACAGCACCTGTCAATATGTTAGAATTTACCGATACCAATCAAGTGGCTCTACTTGCTCTTGAACAAGGCAGATTAGCTAAGGTTAGTTATAGTTTAATTTACACTAGCATATTTTTATGTAATCCTTTATGGTGTATAAATATTTTACTACTTATTATCTATTTATTAAAACTATTATTTTGTATAGTTGGAAGGTGGAATGAATAATCATTGGCAAGTTGAACATCATCGTTGGCCTGGTCATCATCAACAGTCATTACCACCATTAAATAATAATTCTCCCCCCGTGCATCGATGGGCTTACAGTCAAGCACCTGGGCCACGTAGTAGTAGACAACTTATAAGAGTTATGAGGACATTACAACCACTTTTACAAGAAGCTATTCAAAGAAGAAGTGTAACTACAAGATTATGGGAACCTTACACTGTTACTGGACCACTAACTTGGCGACAATTCCATCGTTTGGCAGGACGAGGTACAGAAGATAGATGTGAACCGCAACCTATTCCTCCAATTCTGGTTGGGCATGACAAAGATTGGGTATCTGTTGCACCTTTAGCTCTTCATTATTGGGATAAATTATTACTAGAACCATTTTCATATTCCCGTGATGTTGCATATATTGTTGTTAGTCCAGACAATGAATTTGTTTTACAAAGGACAAGAGCATTTTTCAAAGAATTAAGTGCAGCTTATGAAATTAATAGATTAGGTCGTCATTGTCCAATTACTAAAGTATTACGAGACGGTATTCTAAGAGTAGGTAAATCAGCTGCTGCTAAATTAGCCAAAGAACCTGTTGATGAATGGTTTTCAATGTTGGGTGAAAATCATCAATCATCGATGTTGAAATTATATGCCCAAGTTTGTCGTCATTATTTAGCTCCACAACTATCTCAGTTTTCAATGGATAAAACTTTATTGGATCCACCAGAAGGGAGTACTCCAAGACCTCCACCTTCTCCTATGCCACCTCCATCATCAATGACACCAAACTCTATGGACTCGCCTGTTTCATCAAACGATCGAGCACCCACTCCCAAGAATGATGGCTTAGATGATTCCTGTGGATCCCAGGCGGATAAAAGTTTCAACAGTAGCGGTGATAACAATCATTGTGATGATGATGATGGTGAAGTGCCAGCTATTGTTATTTATCTTGTTGAACCTTTTTCCATTGGCAAGGATAGTAGTAATCTTGCAAGGATTGCTTGCCATGGTCTTTTAAGATGTTATAACACAGTTTTAGCTACCCTTCCAGAAGCAATACGATCAAATATTTCTGTGCAGGTAATTTTTAACTAGTATTAATAAATAATTAATTAATAAAATATTCTTGTATTATTAAATATATTAATTTAAATTTTCAGTTAATATCTCTAGAAAGTGTTCTAGAACTCGGTCGGTCTTCAGATCATCTTAAAATGAGTGATAATATGAGAACTTTGGCTCTATCTGTTTTTAGTCAATGTAGACGATACTTAACTCATACTTCAAACATAAAAGCCCTAACTGGGTTTGGCACAGCAGCTATGACTGAATTGTTCTTAAAAAATAAAGATGTATGTACATTTTTATCAATCGCACATAAATTTGAAGTTAAAATTTTTCATTTGTTACTTGTTTTTATATAGGAAAAGAGTCGAACTGCTTATAAAGCATACACGCCTCCTTTCATTTTAGCCGGTTATAGAAATAATAAAACTGGCCGAACAGATAGTGGCTTAGCTGGTGATAGTAGCAGTGATACATTATCAATTCTTGGTGGACCCAATGGAGGGGTGGGTTCTCCATCAGGTACTGATCAACAATGCTCTGTACTTTATGCTAGTTACTGTATATCAGAAGATCAAAAGTGGATATTAGCTACAGCAACTGATGAACAGGGGATCTTATTAGAAACAGCTACAATTAATATTTTTGTACCTTCTAAGTAAGAATTATTATTTTTAACTATGTTTAAGTAGTTATTAATGTGTATTTTATTTGTAGTAGACGAAGAAAATCTCCGGCTCGAAGAGTAGGCTTACAAAAGTTAATGGATTTCATCTTGGGTGTAATGAGTCAAAGTGTAACACCTTGGCGGTTAGTTGTGGGTAGAGTTGGCAGAATTGGCCATGGTGAACTTAAAGGTAAGAAAGCTATATAAATTACTTTATATATTTTATACATTTTTAAATTTATGTATATTTTAGGTTGGTCGTGGCTACTAAGTCGTAAAGCATTGATGAAAGCGTCACGTCACTTAAAAGAATCGTGTGGTCAATGTAGTTTATTGTATCAAAAATCTGATGTACCATCTGTAGTTAGTGCTTGCTTAGTTTCTTTGGAACCAGATTCTTCGTTAAGACTGATGACAGATCAGTTCACACCTGATGAACGTTTTAGCCAAGCATCTGTTGCTTGTCAACTTTCTACACCCCGTGATGTTTCTGCAACTCATATTCTCGTATTTCCAACATCAGCAACAACACAGGTAATTTATAATTTTAAGTGATTAAAATGATCATAACACAACAACACATTGTTTTTAGTCTTCACAAACTGCGTTCCAAGAACAACAAATAAATGGCCCAGAACTTGGTGATGATGAATTATTTAGTGCATTTAATGAAGAAGACATGCCAGAAGGTATGGAAGGTATGGGCGACTTCAATGATATATTTAGCACATGGAATGATTCGGATGCTGTGGGAAATACGAGTTTGGGACTTCCTACCAGTGGTGGCTCAGGTGTCATGGGTGGTACAAGTGGTAATGTTATTGGAGGCAATATGGGCTCTGGATCTTTAGGTGGTTCTATGGGAATGGGAAGAGGATCAATGGGAACTAGAGGAGATTGTTCCTCTCAACCTGGTAGCCCACCATCTTCACAACCTTGCAGTCCTTTTACTTGTGGATCATCATCGTACAGAGTATGTATAAAATCCTTTAAAAAAAAATTGTATTTTTAACAATTTTAATTTATTTTTAGAACGGTAGTTGCTTAGATGGTCATGAAGAGGTAGGAGCATTACTCCAACAACCATTGGCTCTAGGTTATTTAGTATCTACAGCTCCTACGGGTCGTATGCCCACATGGTTTTGGGCATCATGTGCACCAGACATAGAGAAATGTAGTCCAGCATTTCTTAAAAGCGCATTGCACATGCATACTGTACAGTTGCCTAATAACGCTGATCCAGCAGCTGCAGATCTCCTTCATCCAACATCTGCAGTTTCAGCACATCCTCTAGATTCTCAATACACCACAGACGTTCTAAGGTATTTATAAAATTTTAAACCCAATAGATCTTGTTGTTCATAATAATAATTTTTTTATTTATACAGATATGTTTTGGAGGGTTACAATGCATTATCATGGTTATCATTGGACTCTAACACTCATGATCGAATGTCTTGCTTGCCAATACATATGCAAGTATTAATGCAACTATACCACACTATGAATGCTCTTATATGACGGTAACATGTTTTTCGAAATAACCTAGTTAATTTTTCGTGAAACATTTCCTTTATTGTTTCATTTAATTTTAGGTCAATTAAGGTGATATTTAATTAATGTAAATTTTTAGCTTTATTTTAAGAAAAAAATAAAAAAAAACAAATTGAAAATTATCTGGACACCATTTTAGTGTAGACAAATGTTTATTACAAATTTTTAACAAATAACATGTAATATGTAGGTACCAATGGATAGTAAATTTTAGGAAAATTTTATTTTATACAGTACGTTATAGGCAAATTGTGAATGTAATATTATTATTATTCTTGATACATTATTTTTATCTTTTTTTTTTTTTTTTTTTAAGACAATTTATGTTAAATTGTCAAGGAACGAGTTACCATAAAATATTGTGTCGTTTTAATGGTTGTTCATATTTAAGTTTTTTTTTTTTTGTATATTATAATTTATTTCATCTTTTGTATCATTCTAAATTATTATTATTATTATTATTTTTTTTTTTTTTAGTAAATGTCATCCATGAATGTGACTGTTGTTGTGTTTTAATGTATGTCTGGCTTTATATTATTATTATTATTATTATTATTTTTTTTTTTTTTTTGGGCTTTTATTTCCCCTTCTCTTTTCCGTTTTGATCGGACTACTTGTATATAATATATTTAAAAATGTATTTTGGTTTATTATAATATATTATTATCATTATTGAATTGTACATATTTATATGTATGTATGTGTATGTATACATATGTATGTATGTATATGTATATATATGTATGTATATATATATATATATATATTTTATTAACTATTTATGTAAAATATTTATTAAATTGACCAAAAAGGTAAAAAAAAAAAAATTAAACCTGTAGAAACTTCAACAGAATTGTAGCCAATTTGAACAAATTAAATTATATATTTATTCTAACCAAAGTCAATATTAATACATAAAACATTTTCGAATAACAATGCAATTAATATTACAATAAAACCTTTTTTTGTTTTTTCGTTTTGTACAGGTAATAGCATGTAAAAAGTAATGTTAATAAATTATTAATGTTACACAATTATTATTAAAATACACATTTTAAGGTTTGTACAAAAGTAACGAAAGGAATACAGGCGGTTTTTAATATTATTATTGTGAATATTATATAATATATGAAAATAATAATAACTTGTACACTGGCAATGTTAATGTTATTCCATGAAAAACAACATGAAAAAATTTAAAAATAAATTGAGTTTTTTATTTATATTTCCTATTTAAGTACTTGTATGGTTTTAACATTGTTTATTTTTTGGTGACAAATTCCAAGAAATATCCTGCAAATAGCGTATCATAGTTTAAAATTTGATATGTAAAAGTTTTATATAGTATACATTTGTTTTCTCCACTGTATTTTTATTATTAAATTTATTATGTATCTTTCAAACAAATGTATACTAAATGTTTGCAAGGAAAAATTCTTGTATATCTTAAGACGAGGACCTGGTAAGTGGTGTTATGAATGTAAATATATGTTTATTTGCATATATTTACCATATATGACACAGATGTTAAAATTCACCTGTTAGTTTCTATCAAATTATATTGTAATATGATGGAGAAGACATTTATAATAGTACATTAAGTGTTGTGTATGTTAACTATACTTTGTGCGACTTGAATATTTTAAAATATTCATAAACTTGTAGTGGTCAGTTGCTCAGATGATAATTCTTACAATTTATTCAGTTATATGGAGAAACTAGTCTGGAATCCAATATGGTAATAGGGAATGATAACAAAAATAAAAAAATATAATTCAATTATTTACTGAAATGATGTAGTTAATGTTTTTGACTGAAAGATTCCTATTGTTCAAGTGTAGATAAAAACGAACCTTCCCACAATATAATACCAGCAATCCACCAATTTTTATTTAAAAAATATAACAGATGCCAGTTGTGTGATAATTTCAGCATACTTGATGGCCTTATCAATGTCATGACTTATGCCCATAATTTAAATTTAAGTTAAAATTTTAAAACTGCACATGTTAGTACTACAAGTTATTAAAATAGCACTAAGGAACATACGGACAAAATGAAGCAACCTGATACCAATATCAAATTTTCTCATTGTGGACGTTCATAAATGTCTACAAAACGAAACGCTCTGCCATCAAGTGGTGATGCAACTTATGAGTGTGTACACCGTACTGTCGACAAATAATTCTGTGAATGTAATTGGTATCTTTAAACCATAGTCTATAGTCAAGTGTTTAGTATGACAAAAGTCTTAAAAATGATTTTTCACACTATTTATTTTAAAATACTTTGTTTTATTCTTTTTTCAATGGTATCAATTTTCCGACGGTTGCCCAAAATTGTTGGAAGTGTAATAATTCAGAAAGATAACGTTTCGAATTATGTTAGTTTGAACAAAAATTACGCAACTTCAGGTTGGCCTCTTTTAAATTTCATTGACTGCTTATTATTAAACCAAAATCGAAAATGATGCGTACCCGTTACAACTTGATCATTCACTGATTTAATTTTAATGCATTTTAATTCTATACCGTGAAATTGATTATAATAAAATGTAATTAATACCATGAATAAAATCGATTTCAGATTAAAAAAGGTCTTTCAATTACAATTGTTAGTTGGACTTTAATATTTTAGCTTTCACATGAAGTATACAGATTTCTTTTAGTTAACTGATCAAAATCCTATAACTATAAAATTACTATTAACTTTGATAGAAGTATTTACCGTAGGACAATTAAAAAGCTTAGACGAACTGTATCTACTTATTTTATAATATTATTGTTGTATTAAATGTAGTCTACCTTTAAAATGCGAAATATTTTTTTCGGTTTAGGTAGGAAATATATTGAATCAAACTGTTTTAAGTGTTATGCATACGTTTGCTTCAATGAATCTCAATTGCTTTTGTTAGTAAATAATAACTAGAAATAATAATAATATATTTTTAAATAAACCTATTTTATTTTAACACTTATTTAAATTTAACCATTTAATTGAAACAATAATTGATTGTACATGTATTATTTCTAATTAATAAGTTCTAACGAATTTTTATTTGAGCATTTGATTTTGATATAATTTAAATATAGATTGAGATTTAAATATATTTCAATCAGCTAAATAATTATCCAATTATTTTTTTTAAACTAAATAACGTTATTTAAAATGTTACAAATAATATTTGTTTTGTGAATTTCAAGATTACAGCCCAGTAAAGCTGAATTTTATGCTTGGCATTCTTTCCAGTGTTATATTTAATTTTTTTCCTTATATAAAAATAAAGTGGTTGCTTCCATGTTCAATATTGTACACTACAACGTACCTAGTAGTTACCGATAGTGTCCTGCAATTTATAATTTGCAATTTTATATTTTTATGGTTTCCTAGTTTGATTGACTAAAATAGCCAATAGGTAAGGTTTAGTCTAATATAACCATATAAACATTGTATTACTTTTAAGTTTAGAAAGAAAAGGTATGCTAAAATATTTTTAAAATAAAAGTAATATTCCGTTCCCTTTAATTCAAACACTGTATATAGGTAAATACAGGGCCGGCGCTAGAAGTATTTGATAGGTAGGTATACATATATATTTCTTCTGTGTTTCTTTTCGTGTACATTATGAATGACATAACACATGATTATTTTCAAAATAACCTGCTTTGTTCAGAGAAGGTATATACATATTTTGAATTTTTTATAAGTATTATAAAGCAGGGGCGTAATTAGGGGGATGGATCCCTCCAAAGCTTTTTTTATGTAACTTATTTTTATTTATTATATTGTGATAATATAATAATTATTATTATCATTATTATTATTATTATTAAAATTTAAATTATTAAAAATTTTGTTCTGGTGGGGGGGGGTTACTGTGTGAGAGGTACAGATTTTGCTAAAACCTATAATCCTACCCCCTAAACCAAATTCCTAATTACGCCACAGTTATAAAGTATATAAGGTAAAAAATATACCTCTTTTAAAGTGTTTCTTAAGTATCGATCTGAAGAGATGGTAATCAGACGGAGCAATGTCTGGACTATACGGCGGGTGAGGTAGGACTTCCCATTTGAGCGTTTCTAAGTATGTTTTCACCGGCTGTGCAACATGTGGGCGAGCATTGTCATGTTGCAAAATAACTTTGTCGTGCCTGTCGGAGTATTGTGGCCGTTTTTCTCGCAGTGCGCGGCTCAAACGCATCAATTGTCGTCGATAGACCTCGCCTGTGATCCTTTCATTCGGTTTCAGAAGCTCATAGTAAACCACACCTAGCTGGTCCCACCATATACAGAGCATGAGCTTGGCGCCATGAATATTTGGCTTGGCCGTTGATGATGATGCATGGCCGGGTAGTCCCCATGATTTTCTTCGCTTCGGATTATCGTAACGGATCCACTTTTCATCGCCAGTCACGATACGATGCAGAAAACCCTTTCTTTTATGTCGCTGAAGCAGCTGTTCGCAAGTGAAAAAACGCCGTTCGACGTCTCTCAGCTTCAGTTCGTACGGCACCCAATTTCCTTGCTTTTGGATCATTCCCATGGCTTTTAAACGCTTGGAAATGGTTGTTCGGTTAACTCCCAATGCTTCAGCAAGTTCTTCTTGCGTTTGACACGAATCTTCATCAAGCAAAGTCGCCAATTCTTGATCTTCAAAGATTTGCGGCCGCCCGGAACGCTCCTTGTCTTCCACGTCGAAATCGCCACTTTTGAAGCGTCGAAACCATCCGCGAACACTTGAATCATCGACATAACCTTCTCCATAAGCTTCCTGAAGCAACCGATGCGCCTCGGCAGCAGATTTCTTCAAATTGAACCAATAAAGTGAAACTTCCCGCAAATGACGTCGACTCGACTCAAATTTCGACATTTTCACGATTACAAAAATGTATGATGCGAAAAAATTTCAACTAATGTGTTAGTGTGGAATTGATGACAGATGAATAAGCTTTAATTATGACATATGTAACCATTAAATACTCGCACAGTATTGGTGGCGCCGTCTCTTACAAAAAACGGGAAAGACTTATTCACACACCTGATAGGTCTTTAACCTTTTTAAACATGAATATTTTTTCTCAGGTGTAGCAGTAGAATCAAATAATGTACAAAATATTATATTATTTGATAAATTAGAATAAATAGTTTCACTACAGTATTTTAATGCATTTAATCCAGTGGCGTAGCCAGGATTTTTAAATGGGAGGGGCTAACCACTTTTTTGGATAAGTAAGGTAAGAGAGGATATGAAAA